TGGAAAATGGAGTGATGGGTAAAAGGAACAGCAAATAGGCTGGTTTAGCTGGATTGTAGAGTGAGTAGAGGGGAGAAAGTTATAAGAATACTGGAAAGTGGAGAGTCCAGGTTATGAAGAGCTTTAAGTGCCAAAGAGAGTAGTTTATATGTACCCCTGGAAGTAATAGGAAGCTACTGGTGCTCACTAAACTGGGGGTGACATAGTCAGGACAATTCTTTAGAAGAATCACCGTGGCATCTAGTTTGGGGAGACACCTGAGAAAGGGAGGCCAGTTAGAAAGTTATTGCAGTAGTCTAAGTGATAGGTAATGAGGGCCTGAACTAGCATTGTGGCTGTATGAGGGGAGAGAAGGGAATGTGTATGATGTTGTGAAGGCAGAGACAATTAGATTTGGTAATTAGATTGGATATATAGTGTGAGAATGAGAAGTTGAGGATACCACTAAGATTGTGGGCCTCTGTGACTAGGAAGGTGATGGTGCCTTTGACAGTAATAGCAAAATTCATAATGGGGAGTGTTTGAGATGAAAGGTAAGTTCTATTTTGGACTTGAGTTTGAGCTACCTACAGGGCATCCAGTGGGAAATGTCTAAGAGATAGCTGGAGATAACATGGAGAGCTCAGTGGAGAGATTAGGGTGGGATAGATAGCTGAGGGAATCATATGCATAAAGCTGATAATTGAACTCATGGTTACTGATGAGATCACCCAGTGAGGTAGCATAGAGCAAAACGAAGGGTTCCCAGGACAGAGCCTTGTGGAATAATCATGGAGAGTGGGTGTAACATTAGTGAAGAACCAGCAAAGCAGACAGAGAAGGAGCAGTTGGACAAATAGAAGGAGAACCAGGAGAAAGTAGTGTGATGAAAACCGAGAGAAGAAAGAGTATCTAGGAGGAGATGGTGATTGACAGTGTCTAATGCTGCAGAAAAGCCAAGGAAGATCAGGACTGCGGAAAAAATCCATTTGGTTCAGAAAGTAAGAGACCAATGATAATTTTGGAGCAGGTAGTTTCAGCTGGATGATGAGGTCTAAAGTCAGATTGCAGATGGCTTAGAAGAGAGTGAGTATAGAGGAAATGGAAACATTGAGTATAAATTATTTTCTCAAGGAGAATGTAAGATTGTAGAAATGGCAGGATCAACTGTAGATTTCTAAGGATGAGTAGACATAGACATCTTTGTTGGCAGCAGAGAAGGAACCAGTAGATCGGGAGAAATTTAAGATAAGAGAGGCAATGGATGTGATTGTGGGGGCGATTTGCTAGAGACTGTAATGGGAGGGGGAGGAGAACTGGCAAGTGATGGCCTAGTCTTAGAGCCTGTGGAATATTCTTTGACTACATGGCAGTTTGGTGAGCTTGCTACCAGTAATGGATGTGATGGAGAGGTTCTTCTTCCTGGTCTCTCCCAAGAGACTAGAGTAGTAGAGGAGAGTATATTTCCCATTTGAGAGATTTTTGTACTTTGATTCTTGCTACAGCTTCTCAGTAAATAAGCCTTTTTTAAAAGCTAATTGATGTTAATTGGTATCGAGGAGAGATCAATACTGGTTAACTGATATTGGGGAGATACTAACTAGTGACTGATATTGGGGGGAACGCACTGGATGGGGGCTTATCAATGATAGTACTAGAAAAACCAACCCTTCCCTAAAGTGCTTAGCATAGTATCTGGCACATAGTAGGTGCCATATAAATGCTTTTCTCTTGCCCACTTCCATCAGGGTTACTCCTAGAATCTTGAGGAGAACAGTAACCAGTTGTTCTCCAGGGATTCTACTTGCCAATGTGAGTGAGGATTTGTGAGAGTGAGCATGAAAGAGTGCAGAAAAGGCCATTAGTAAAATTTAATACCCATTAATACTGGAAAAAAACCTAAAAAGTATAAGAAAGAAAGTTATTGTTCATTTGTTTCAGTTGTGTCTGACTCTTTGTGACCCCATTTGAGATTTTCTTGGCAAAGATCCTCGAGTAGTTTGTCATTGACTTTTCCAGCTCATTCTACAGAAGAGGAAACTGAAGCAAACAAGGTTAAGTGACTTGTCCAGAGTTATTCACCTAGTAAGTATCTGAGGCCAGATTTGAACTTACAAAGATGAGTCTTCCTGATTTTAGACCTGCAGTTCTATCTACTATGCTACCTTACTGCCCAAGAAGGGAAATATTTTTTTTCTTAATGTGGTAAAAAACATTTATATGAAACCAAGTTGTTCCTTATATTTAATAAAGAAACAATGGAAACTTTCCCATTAAGAACAAGGCATAAAGCAAAACTCTCTATTCTCATTATTACTATCAGGGTTGGTTTTTAGAAATGCTAGTATAAGGGATATTTCTGAATTCCTAGGGGAGTCAAGATCATACCTGGGAATGATGCCATGCTTTTTCTGGACTATTACTCTTCCCCCATAAGGCAATTGGGCAGTTTTTTCATTAGAGAGAACCTTAAACTGCAAATACCAGGGGGCTGTGAGTGGCAATGCAGCATACAGATATGTTCCAGCACAAGGTTTTGAGAAAGTGAGGAAGCTAGGAAGGAAAGGGAGGAAATCGGGGAAGAAAAATGTGTGCTATGGGAGTGAATGGCATAAAGCACATCCCCTCAGGTGTTTCTAGCCTTTTTATTTTTGTCCCAAGCACCTAGCACAGTGCATCATTCATAGTAGGTGCTTAATAAATGCTTGTTGGATTGGCTTGTTGAATTTAATATGGGTTATCTGGCCCATCTTAAATTGGGAATAACCCTGTCATAAGTGGGACCCCCTTATTACCTGTTGTGCCCTGATAGGGAGGATGGAGTTTGATAACTTATATATATATAAATTATATCCGTGACTACTATGAAGAGTTTTTTGGTGAGGTACCAAAAATGAACATAAATACTCAAAGGATCATAAATAAGTCAGTTTATCATTCATAGGCATGTAAGTGTATGACTCCCCAGCCCTACAGTTCCACAGGCACACAGATGAATGGTGGCTTATGCATACAATGGGATGTGTACACCTATCAAGAGCCCAGATCCCTGGGTCTCTACCCTTATATCTAATCAGGGCAGAGTCCCGATCAGAAAGTGAGTCCCAGGGTGATTAGGCAACTTGCCTAATGCCACACAAGTAGGTAACCTAGGATTTGAACCCACATCTCCTGACTCTTTTCATTCTACTTTATTCTATAGTCAGTGATTAGAGAGAAAATTGAGAGCCCAGGCAACTAGTGTTTAAAAATTCTTGTCACTCAAATACTATGACTCTCACCTCCCATGTACTCCTTATACTAGAAAGAAGCAGCTGACCTTAGGAGATTTAGGGATCAGTTTCCCTGACAAGCAAAAGGTCTATCAGGGTATGGATTTGATCAGACTAAAACAAGGAAAGTCTTGCTTAGATACTCATTTGGTAGAGAGATCATGGAGGCTTAAGCCTCATAGTCTCAGGCCCATGACTCCAAGAAAACACAAAGCTCAGGTGCCAGTCTAGGGCAGGAATTGGAAAAGCTAACTTTACTAGAAGGATAGAACCTAGTACCTAGAGAGTCAATTTGCATCAGGAAAACCAACCTGGATAGAAAATGATGGGTTAAGGGTGAGAGAGGACTTTGAGAAACCAGAGCCATTAAGTATAAGAGGCTAAAGAAAATGAGAGTTTGGTTTGGACTTGGTCAGGTTAGGGCAGCAGGATTAGGAGAGAAATTTTTAGAGGACAGATAAAATATAGGATTTTTAATCCAGGGAGCAAAAATAGGACTTTGAAGGAAGAGTATGGACTCACTGAGACTAGGTGTGAAAGAAGAGGTTCCAAGGATCTTGTGAAAGAGCCTGAAGCTCAAAGTCTTGCTTTGGGGGAGTTGGAATAACTAGAAAAGTGGGGCCTTTGGCCAACTGGGAATATCCATCACCAGATCTAAGGTTAGGGATGCAGATAATGAATCCTATGAAGTATTTTGCATGAATTCAAATCTGTCTTATTCAAAGTTATAATTATATAAATATGGTAATTAGTTACATCCCAATAGAAACATGCATTTCAAATTCAAATAATGCTACCCCTTCACAAGATTCATTATGTACCCTAATGGGGACCTAGATATAAGTATAGTCATAGCTCACATTTGTGAACCTTTCAAAATGCATTCTTCACAACAACACAGTGAGGTAGGCAGCAGTATATTATTATTCACATTTTATAAAGGAGAAAATGAGCTCAAAGAGGTTAGGCACCTTGTGATCCATGGATCACACATTTCATAAATGGTAGATCCAAGTCTTGAACCCAGACTTTCTAATTCCAAGTACAGTGTCAGTTTGGCAAGAAACAGAAACTGATTCAACATCTAATCCAGACAAGATTTATTGAGTTTACTTCAGGGAAAAGATCTGGAAGAAGGGGTTCAGTCAGAGAAGAGGGTGGGAAACCAAGGCCCCATAGCTCGGTTTCCTAACCTCCCTTCATTTTTATCTATAATGAGTAGGAGTGAACACTTGCAGACAGATTGTTTGATGATTTCCAGCAACATGAGTATGCAGAATAAAACGATGAATTGGGAGTTGGGTGATCAGGGGTTCTAGGGCAAGATTTGCCACTAGTGAACTATAGGAGTTGGGTTAAAATACTTCATTTCTGTGTGCATCAGTTTCCTCATATCAAATAAAGTGGTTGGACTAGATCACTGAGTAGAGAACTCTCCCATTTATAACAGTGGATGATTCTATAGTTCCTGAGAAGGGGAGAAAGCCTGTGCTTTAGAATCAGGCAAACTTGGGCGACATTGTGTGGTCTTGGAAGTGAGAAAAAAGGAGGGCCAACAAAACCAAGTGATGGAGCTCACTAGTGGAGGAAATGTGGGGGTCAGTTGCAGCAAGCATAAGGCTCCAAAAGATTTAGATAATGTTGTGTCTAGGACAAAAACAAAATTGATTGACCATAGCACCATTTCCTTAGACAATAACTTTGATTAGTATTTTTTTTGGGGGGGGGTTTAAAAAAACCTTAAAAAAGTTATTCTTTGACATTGAAGCAGATGACACTGGCATCTTCATAGTGACCACAACTGTGGGAGAACCAACCCCTATGAGAACAGTCACTGAGTTGATATTCATTCCCTGTACACTGGACATCATCTAGGGCAATGGGTCCAGATCCTTGGCCAAAATAGGCATTTCCTGGGGCAGAAATAGCTGCCCCACAGCCAAGTTGTCTACATACTACTTGTGCATCCTGCAGATCCCAGTCGTCATCACAAATTGTCCCCCACTGTCCATAATGATAAACCTCCACCCGACCTTCACATCTGTTAGAGGAAGCTACCAGTCTCAAGCTGCCATCTGGAAAAAGAACAAAAATAGCTGTAAGTAACCATATGAAAAAATGCTCCAAATCACTTATAATAAGATAAATACAGATTAAAATAACTCTAAAGTTCCATTTCTTACCAAAACATTTGAAAAACAAAAGGAAAATGCAATTATTGGAAGGAATGTGGAAAGATAGGCACACTAATGCACTCTTGGTAGAGCTATAAATTATTCTATCTTTTCTGGAAAGCGATTTCTGGAAATCAATTCTGGAAAGCAGTAAACTCCAAAAGTCACTAAACTAAGCATTCGCCTCGACTCTGTGATCCCATTGCTAGGCACATTCTCCAAAGAGGTTAAAAATATGGAGTGAAATGATATAGATGTTCAAAATTTTCATAGCAGCATTTTTTAAAGCAAAGACCTTGAAACAAAGTGGGTATGCATGAGTTGCGAAATGACTGAATAAATTGTGGTGTTATGAGTATAATAATTGTTCTGTAAGAAATGGTGAAGAATTCAAAAAAAGCTGGGAAATCTTACATGAATTGATGCAGAGTGAAGAGAACAGAACCAGGATAACAATTGGTACAATGGTAACAATAATGTAAAAGAAAACAACTTTGAAAAGATTCAGAACGTGGATCAATGCAATGAGTAATCATGATTTCACGAGGCTGATAATGAAAGCATATTTTTCTTTTCTTTGGCTGAAAAGTGATGTACTCGAGGTTCAGAACAGGACATATTTTCAGACATGACCAACATCTGAATTTTTTTTTGTTTGATGATACTTATCTGTCACAAAGAAGGGCTATAATTTATTATTTTTTGTTTGTGGGGGGCATTTGTTGTAGTCTTTCAGTGTTGAGCTCTTTCAGTCACATTGTTTTCTTTGTAAATGGGAAGGCAGAGGCAATAGACCAGAGGTTGGGTCTATACTTGTATAGAATCATCAGCCTGGCTCTCATTACCATGGACTGCCTCATCTTGTGGAGGGAAACCCTCTGTTGGTTTCTGTAGGATGGGGGAGGCTATTTCTGACAAGATGGGTACCATCAGGATGGACTCTAGCATTGTATGGCCATGGACAAGTCATTTAATCTTTTTGAGACTCAGTTTTTTCAAGTGTAAAATGAAGGTATTAATATCTATGATACCTACTTCATAATTTTGTTGTGAAGCTCAAATGAGACAATGAATGTAAATTGCTAGACACATCATGTTATTGTTTATTTTAATGATAAATGAATGAACCAAGACTCTTACCTCTGGGAAAAGTTTGATACCAAGCCTGAAAGCCTCTTTTTTGAACACTGTAATCACTTGTAAATATAACTGTCATCTTGTTTGTAAGTGATACAATTGTGTTTGGGGAGCCAACACAAATTCTCTGCAGCAGAGAGCCACCTGGTGATCCATCTAGGATGTCAACATAATCGAAATAGCAGCCTTCTAGCCTGAAGAGAATTGAGGAGACAGCCTGTTTATTGTGTTGTATCAGGATCAATCTTCCATAATTACATATCAATATCTTACTCTAGTCTTTTCACACAAGCACACATATCTCCCCACTGTAGCAAGCACCAGGGTGTGTTTTAAGCCTTTTTTTCACCCTTTGTGCTTTTACAATTCACGGAAGTTCAATAGGCTTTATGACTAATTGAATGCTATTTGGTGTTTAGTTTACGCCATGTTTCATGGTAGGGTCACCCACGTAGGCAAGGGTTAGGGTGAAAGACTAATAACTCATCCTAGTCTCTCCCTAACCCAGGACCCTTTTCACATTTTCATATGATGACATAGAGTAGGGAGGGGAGCTTCCCTTTCCATATGGTCCTGGGGGCCACCGTAATTGATATTAAGGAGGGAGACTTTGAGAACACTAGTCAGCCAGTCTTTGTTCTGTCTTGTTAGATTCTAGATCTCTCTATTGTCTGCTATGGGGAAACAAATATCTTAGTCAAGACTAATCAGGCATGTACCATATAGCTGATTCTGTGGCAGCTCTCATCACCATAGGCAGTTGCTGTGATAGTAACTCTCTGGTTCAAGTCATTTCTACAACTTAGCTCAGTGCCTGGCATATTGTAAGCACTTAATAAATTATTGGTGATTAAACCTACAGACAAAACTGACTGATAAAACTAATGGAATTCTTTTGAGCCTGCCCTTTCCAAGGAGAGGACTCATCTCCCGGGGTCTCAATGTGATGAGACTGTAGAAGGGGCCGTGGCTGAATGAATCCCACCACCCCACCAGGTTCTGACTTTCTGATGAAGTTAAAATCTTGCCTAACACAATCACAATTAGACTTTAGTCACAAGACCTAAAAGAATTGCCCACAACATTTGCCATGCTGCCATGTGAGCGGGCAAATGTCTTTCCACAGAACCGCTTAGGAAAAGAAGCAGAACTGGGAGGAAGGGCAAAGGTTGCCACCATTTTCAATTTGGGTAGTGGTTGCCATTGTCATCCTAGCCTGCCAATACTTACTCCACATCATCAAAGATGAGGTGTATGAGTAAATCTGGGTCCACTTCTATTTGCCACACACAGTAAGCATTATTTGGATACACTCCTGGGTAGGAGGGACTGGAGAATGAGCCTTCAGAACCAGACAGAAAGCCTCCACAGCCCTCAAGGGGATCTATGAAATGAAAGGAAAAACCTTTTATAGATATTCATAGTCAGCTTTCATTAAATCGAAGTGTAGAGAGGAGGAGACACAAATGTAAGTTAATGAGGAATCTGAACTATAGGATATTTTTATTATTAGATATCTCAAATGAAAAGCAACCTATTGACTGTGAAGCTCAAAGTGACCTCTCTCCTGTTTTCCATGAGTGCTATATCTTCATCTCTCCTTTTATCTGTTTTATTCTTCCTTATGTTATTTTTTTGTGTGTTCCTATATATATCTCTGGAAAATGTAAGCATCTTGAGGACAGGAATTGTCTTATTTTTGTCATTATATCCCTGACACCTAGAATAGTTTCTAGAAGAAAGGTCTTAATTAATTAATTCAATAATCATTTATTAAGTGACCAGAGGGCAGCTGGATGGTGTGGTGCATTGGGCATTATTCTTGGAGTCAGGAAGACCAGAGTTTGAATGCTGCTTCAGATACTATCTCTCTGATCCTGGACAGGTTACTTGAGCCTCAGTTTCCTCACCTACAAAATGGGTATAATGAACATCTACTTCACAGGTTTGTTGAGAATCAAATAAAACGAGATGATATGTGTAAATCACTTTGCAAACCTTAAAATACTATGACAAATGTTAGGTATTATTATAATACAAAGACAAAAATAGACAGTTCCTGCCCTATTTAACTGGACTTTTTTGGTTTTAATATTTGCCATCAGTCATTCACATAAGCCAGAGAAGTCAGGGCTTATCAGCAGTCTGGGGTGGAGGCAAGAATAGTACATTTTAAGAAAGAGGACATAATAATGGCCTTTAATAGATTGTGATCTGTGGCAATTTGGGAACATAAAGCAATAACATTTTTCATGGCCTTGGATCTAGGTAACCATAGTTAGCTGGCCCCTACATTCCCTCTAATTCCCTGTTTAGGCCATCTTGCTGTCTGTCCTGCTAGCCTGTATGTGTTATTGTTTATTGTTCAGTCATGTCTGACTCTTGGTGACCCAATTCAGGGTTTTCTTGGCAAAGACACTGGAGTGGTTTGTCACTTCCTTCTCCAGCTCATTTTACAGATGAGGAAACTGAAGCAAACAGGATTAAGTGACTTGCCCAGGGTCACACAGTTCGTAAGTGTCTGAGACCAGATTTGAACTCAGGAAGATGAATCTTCCTGCCTCCAGGCCCTTGGTTCTATCCACTGTGCCACCTAACTGCCCCTCTACCTCATTTTCACCTTTTGCTCTGGGTATAGTAATCAAATCATCAAGCCACTTCTGGAAAGGACAGAATTTCTTGCTCTATGGATGAACTCATCATCTCTACAACTCCCCAGACCAAAACTCACTTCCTTGACCATCACATCCTTAATGCTTTTAATCCCTTTAAGCTCCTTGAAGGCTGGAACTTTTGTATTTTTATTCTTAATGCTTAGCTTAAGGCCTGGCACACAGTAAATGCTGGGTAAATACTTTTAGATTCATTTAACCAAGAAAGATTGGACTTACCATATGTTGGAGGAATTGTATTGCACACTGTTGGAGAAAGAGATCAATGTGAGATCAATTAAGAAAAAAATGAATTCATCCTGATAAGACTGAAAATGTTCCCAAATGCCAGTTGACCCAAATGGAGAGAAATCTGCATGTGGTTTTCCCCCTAGAAGAGTACAAGGTTTTGAGGACAAGGATTATTTTTGTTTCTGAAAATAGAGTTGCAGGTGGAAGGTGGAAGTTGCAGGTAGAAGTCTTCCTCCTCGCACTGAAATTATAATTTAATTGGTATAGGAAACTCCCAGGTGAGGGACTTTTTCTACTTATTCTTTTTTTTTTTTGGTGGGGCAATGGGGGTTAAGTGACTTGCCCAGGGTCACACAGCTAGTAAATGTCAAGTGTCTGAGCTGGATTTGAACTCAAGTCTTTCTGACTCCAAGGCCAGAACTTTATCCACTGCACCACCTAGCTGCCCCCTTGAGGGACTCTTTCTAACAATGCAGGCTGGCACTTTCTCTGCAACTTACGTTCTAGTATTTTAGGGCAATGAGACCATTTTCTCAGGGTTACATGGCCAGTATGTATCAGAGCCAGAGTTTGAACCTGGGTCTTCTTGGCCTCAAAGAAGCTAGCTCTCTCTCTCTCTCTCTCTCTTTCTCTCTCTTTCTCTCCCACCCTCACCTCATTGCACTACACTGTTTTTCCTTGCTTATACTTGGAATTTGGGGAATAGAATGGCCCTATTAGTTCTGATCTCTTGAGACCCAGCAGCTAACCCAGCCCACTCGGGTGTATTTGTGGTGATTGTCATAGAGAATTGTTCAAGAGTCCAATAACCATTACAGCAACCTTTTGGACCTGAGCCCCATCTTTGCCTCTGAAGGGAGCCTAGAAAAGCCATGGCTTACCTGGTAGAGTGAAAGGATCAGTAGTGGTAGGGAATGGAGTGGTGTTATGGCTTTCTGTTTGAGAAGGGAGACAGACAGAGACTAATCACATTTGGATTCTTTACTTATCATATGCAAGGTCATGTTAAGCCTATTCTTTTTGTTTTTAAAATTTCTTAAGGTCTAGTTCTTCACATGTACTTCTCCATATGCTTCTGCATGTACACAGTTTACAAGAACACCCTATTTACACAGAGATCACCTATCTGGCAAACTTACCTGGCTGGAACATAGCCAAGAACCACATAAAAAGGCAAACCGGGCCCCTGAGCAGCTGGGGTAGATGGGCCAGAGTCCCTGTGATAAAGCTCATGTAGTTCACTCAGAAGAGAGTCTTTCAGGCCCTCCCTCGGTATCTATTAACACGTCGGCTGAGGCGATGTCTGCGGTACCTCCTCTCTGCCCTGCAGTTTGTCAGTTCTCTTTTTCATGCAGCTCTAACAAGTTTGGTTTTCTGTTTCCCAGGTCACAGCAGATTTAAGATTCTAATACTATTTAAATAATAATAACAGGCAAGGACTATTTCAGTACTGACTTTGTATCCCCAATGCCTAGCACATTGCTTGGCACGTAGTACGTGCTTAATAAATATTTGTTGAATGAATAAATGAAAGATTTGAAAGTGGGAAAGAAGTACAGCCATCTTCAGTGTTGAGGAATGAAAGCAAAAGGGAAGAAAGAAAAATTTAAAAGCAGCAATAAAGAATCAAACACTACAGTACTATGGGAACCATTGTTGTAGGGACAACCACCCTGTCCACTTCAATAGCTCCTGAAGCTGTTGTCATTGAGATGCCATGGAATCCTCAAGAAATAGTTAAATTTTATTCAGGATCCTTTGCTTAAGGAGACAGGGAAGCATGTAAACTATTTTGGAAAGATTTCTGACCAAAAATGATTAAAATTTTGAGAAAGGGTGGCTTCTAAAGTGGGAGGTTTCAGTTCAATCAATCAATCAATTAATTACCAAGAATTTGTTAAGCATCTGTTTTGTGCCAGAAACTATGTTGGCGCTGGTGACTCATATGCAAAGAATAAAACAGTTCCTTACTCTCTCTCAAGGAACTTAAATTCTCTTATGGGAGACAACATATACGTATATAAGAAATATATTGCTTTTTGTTGTTGTTCAGTCATTTCAGTTGTGTCTGCCTCTTGGTGACCCCAATGGGGTTTTTCTTGGCAAAGATACTGGAGTGGTTTGTCACTTCCTTCTCCAGCTCATTTTACAGATGAGGAAACTGAGGCAAACATGATTAAGTGACTTGCCAAGGGTCACACAGCTAGTAAGTGTCTGAGACTGGATTTGAACTCAGGAAGATGAGTCTTCCTGCCTCCAGGCCCTTGGCTGTATCCACTGTGCCATCTAACTTCCCCTACCCCATTTTCTGGCATAGTAATCAAATCATTAGTACCATCATTTCTCAAAAGGGCAGAATGTATTGCTCTATGGATGAACTCATCATTTCTACAACTCCCCAGACCAAAACTCACTTCCCTGACCATCATACCCTTATATGCTTTTAATTCCGTTAAGCTCTTTGAAGGCTGGGACTGTCTTCTTTTTGTATTTTTATTCCCAATACTTAGCATAGGGCCTGGCACACAGTAAGTGCTGATTAAATGCTTTTTGATTCATTCAAACAAGAGAAGAAAGGACTTACCAAATGTTGGAGGAACACTTGTATTCAATTCTGTTGGAGAAAGAGGTCAATGTGAGATCAATTAAGAAGACAAAAAAAAAATAATTAATCCTGATAAGACTGAAAATGTTCCCAAATGTATGTAGACCCAAATGGAGAGAAATCTGCATATAGTTTTTCCCCCTAGAAGAGTATAAGGTTCTTGAGGATAAAGATTATTTTTGTTTCTGAAACCTGCAAAATTGCTGACATTGGAGGAGGTCTTCTCCCCAGCACTGGAATTGTGATTTAATTGTTATAGGAAACTCCCAGGTGAGGGAACTCTTTCTAACAATGCAGGCTGGTACCTTCTCTGCAACTTACGTTCTAATAGTTTGGAACATGAGACAATATGTACATATATAATGAATATATAGCTTTTTGTTGTTGTTTAGTTGTTTCAGTCAGGTTCAACTCTTGATGAACCCATTTGGGAATTTCGTGGCAAAGATACTGAGTAGTTTGCCATTTCCTCCTCCAGCTCACTTTACAGATGAGGAAACTAAGGCAAACTGGGTTAAGTGACTTGCCCAGGGTCACACAGCTAGTAAGTGTCTGAGGCCGGATTTGAACTCAGGAACATGAATCTTCGTGACTTCAGGCTTTGCACTCTATCCACTATGCCACCTAGTTATTAATTGTAAAATAAATATGAAATAAATAAATGATTAGGAGGAAAAAAGGTAATATAATTGCTTGTGGTGGTGGGGGATCAGGAAAGACTACCTGTAGAAGACAGTTTTTGAGTTGTATAAATCTCTACTCAGCCTTCACACCTATTCTAGGAACATTTCAATGTCTAGGAACCAGCTGGAAAGAACATCAAGCAGATACTAATTGTTTGAGTTTCTATCCATTTTGTTGATGATCAGTGGCGATATTCTTCTAAGGAGTTTTAGTCAGGGTGCTATTTCCAAAGAGCCTATCATTAAGTTAGTCATTCTATGATTATTTCAGCCCTCTGCTCCATTTTGATGGAGGAGATGTGGCTTGGGAGATAGCTTGCACATGGGAAATGAAAGGGATTCTCCATTTTCCAAATTTAGTTCTAATGAAAGGAGAACTCAATGTACAATAATAGATGACTAGACCAGTGACAGATCAAAAAAGCAAGAACAGATAGTCATTGTACTACTTACCATATCAAAATATTAGTCTTAGATGTTTCTTACCTTTCTGGTTACTACTATAGGAAGCAGAAAACCCTTGATGTGTGATACTGCCATCAGTTTTAAATAAAACTGTCATCCGGTTGGAGCTTGACATCAGTGTCCTAATGGGACCTTTACAGAATCTTCCAAATGAAGGAGCATGCAATGAACCATCAAAAATCTCAATGTAGTCATAAGTACATAAATCCTCAAATTCCAATCTGCAGAACAGAAAGAGGAATGGAGGAGAAGGGTAACACTTCCCGTAGCATACTTTGGCACCATGATGCTCATTGCTCTTGCCCTCATAACCGGAAGAATTTCATGGCAATCATCTTACACTACAAACAATAAGAAACCTATGGTTTCATGAAAAACATTCCCACAACCCCAAGTGTATTCACATGAGCAATACATTTAAAGAAAAATCTCTAAAATGCTGCCAAAATGTTTGGAAATGAGCTGAAAATGCCCAGATTCAGTGATTCCCTGTTCACAGAAAACACCCAAAGTAATGCAAAGCTCACAGTCATATGACTGAAGCATATCTTTGGACTCTTAACAGGCAAGTCAGGTCAACAAACATTTATTAAGCATTTACTATGTGTCAGGCACTGTGCTAAGTACTGGGGATACAAAGAAAGGCAAAAAACATAGTCTTTTAAGGAACTCACATTCTAATGGAAGAGACAACATAGTTTATTCTTTCTCTCTCCTATTAAATTTTTTTCCCACATATGACTAGGTATATATTTTTTTCTGGTGATGGCAGATTTAGAGCTTACCTCCTGAGTGGTAAATCTGTTTAAGATGCCACAAACAAGTGTTTTAAAAATGTTTTGTTAACACTTTTAAAAATAATATTCTCATTTCATAATTCTGTCTCCCCCTTCTCCCTTCCTATCTTTCCCCAAACACTACAATAGAATCCTCCTTTGGAACAATGAAATAGTTAAAGAAAATAAACTTTTACATTGACTATATCTGGCATTATATAACTCATTCTGCATTTTGGGTCCACCACTTCTCTAACCAAGAGCAGTGATATGGGCCATCTGTATTTTCTAAAGTGATAGGCTAAATGTCCAAATAGAACTTAGGCTTTGAAAATACATGAGAGACCTTAGTATTATCTTATACAAATAATTTAGCTTAAGGAAAATTCTAGAAATTTAGTTCCCAAGTTCTAAAAACATCTTGGAAAGGCATATTATTTCCCTTTTCTCAAGAAGTAGAAGGGGCAACAACTGATGTATTATTTGGACAGTTGACCTATTCAGGAAATATCCAGAAGCTCCTTTCTGTCACTTGGGGGGGGATATTCCCCATTATTTCTGTTGTGAAGAATAGTAGATCCTATGTAGGTTGTCCAGTGAATCATCATTCCTGTGTCACTCACATCTTTTCTCACTCACATCTTGCTGGGTAGGACTATCCATGAGAAAAACTTCACCTCATACCTACAAAGGGCCTATAAACCTGGCTCAGAATTTTGAAATGTCAAAGTTAAATTTGGGATCTATGTTTTGACCCATAAGCCAGAGGTTACCTGACTCAGGAAGTGAATTCTTAGATAGCAGTTCAACTTGATAAATATCTGGTTATCAAAAGGAGGTGATGCTATGGGGTAACCAGAGTTTTACTTACTGCAACTCATCAATGACCAGGCTGATTTGGAAATCATTGCCAACTTCTATTTCCCAGATGCAGTTTAGGAGATTAGGATAGTGTCCAGGATAGTTTGGACTGGTAAATGATCCCTTAGAATCGACAAGGAGACCCCCACAACTCATTTTACTGTCTGTAAAATAGAAAGGGAAAATATTTTATCGTTTGTGAAGAATTGAGAAGTTAAGTTTATTTTTCATGGTAGCTATTTATTTTCAGAACATTTGTTGAGTAGTATTCTAATATATCTGCTATATTCGTGGGATAGTATTAAGGCATTTTACTCCATATAGGTCACTGTGGCCATGTTCTTTGATGGTCTACTCTTCATCAGACCTAAGCTAATGTCATCAATGCCTGTGTTGTGCTAAAGAAGAGCCTTTGCTCTTTTAAGAATAAGATTTGATGTTAGCCTCACATAATAGAGAGAACTGGTCCAGATTCTCAGTCTATAGAACTCTAACCAAAATGATCCTCATAATGGGTGAGAATTCAGACAGTGTAATCGATTTATGTTCTTCCATCTTTAATACCAAGACCCACCATCACTACTATTGAGGACAGTCAAGAAAGGGGATGTATGAAGGTACTTCAAAAAATTCTCAGTGTGGCATTAATAGGAAGCATGAAATTATTATTAACTTTTCATACCTTTGGGTTGTCCCAAGTCCTTGTCTGCCAGGCATGCTAGAATGAGAAGGACAAGAGGGAAGAGGCTTCCTAATGTCGCCATGTTGTCAGTGAATTGCTCTGGGCCATGCACAGGTTTTATACTCACACTGAATTTACAGTCCTTGGGATTTATGCCAAAT